GGCTTGCGCGCTTCCCACGGAATGGCCGAGGGGCCTTCGGCGCCGAGGAAGGGCGAGGAGCGCTGCCACGCCTCGGCCTCGGTCATCCGCAGGCTCGGCCACACCTGCTCACATACACCCGAGCTGTGAAGAGACGCCGTTCACACACCCGGTCGTCCGCCGGCGAAAAGCCAACAGCACCACTCGCGTCGAAGGGCCGGCCTGGTGGCCTCCGAGCCGCGCCAGGCGGCAATTTGCAAAGTGCGGCACCGGCCGCTCCTCGCGGCACCCGTCCGCCGTGTGGATGAGGACGGTGCCTGGAGAGGAAGGTTCTCGGAGGGTTCACGGGAGGCTGATGCACGGTTCTAGCCGCGTCGATGAGGACATCCTCGCGGTTTGCCTTTCGCTCCCTCGGCACGCGCCGCCGTGAGAAGCCCGCGGTAAATGCTGCCTGCTCGCATGGCACGCAAGGCGCGGAGAGGCGTCATCACGGCTCGAGTGGCGGGCAGTGTGCTACGCGGCTAGGGCGGCTTGCATGTGTGTGCGTGTGTGTGCGCGCGCGCGCGCGCGCGCGCCGCGCGCGCGCGCGTGTGTATGTGTGGCTGTGTGTGTGTGTGTGCGGCTGTGTGTGAGTGCACGCAGCTGTGCTGCGCCTGCACGGCTCGTGATCACGCGCTTCGTCCTGCCGTTTGGCAGCTTCTTTGGCGGCGGGGGCTTCTGCGAGCCGAGCAGGAGAGGAGAGGAGGTCAGGTCGCGGCTGCGGGCGGCGGTGAGATACGCACTCTGATTTGTGGCTTGCACGAGACTGTGCTGTCTCTGCTGAAGCGAGCGCGAGCGGGCAGCCGCGCGCCTTGAGCTGGAAGATCTCTCCCGTCTCGAGGCGCAGGAGGTAGTCGTGCCGCCACTCGTCCTCGACGGCTGGGCCGGAGCAGTTCGGCGGGAGCGTGTCCCAGCCTGTCCAGGCGCCGACGACGTCAGTCGTCTTCACCACAGAATTCGCCATGCCCAACGGCGTTCAGCCGCCATTCACAGATACTCTCCTAGAAGTTGAACATTGTTGCTCAGCGTCTGGACCACTTTGTTCGATGTCCCCGTGTACTTGGTATTGCTAAAAATCTCCCCCCTACAAGTACTCACCGGTCTCAGCGGCATTGCCAAGCCCATCACCTTGTACCGCTGTGCGACACCTGACGACCTGAGCCCGCACGCATACACAGTG